AGGCAACACCTGTCTCCGTCATCAGGTGGGACCGTCAGATTAAATACAACATATGAGAGCTTGGCACGTTCTGTTTACTTGACAAACCCCTTACTAACTGGCTGTATCGGGTGGTCGCGGGTTTAACGACACAACGTTGATATATTCACGCGATCTCTAACCCACCACAAACTCGACGATGGTTTAAACACGTTCCTTCGCAGTGGGCAGGTAGGAACTTGGTTGGACAGCGCATTCGTGCACGACAGACAAATAATCCCTGGTGGGCAGTGTGGAACCTGTTGTTCCTACAGGTATAAGTGTAGTGTATCGTGTTGTGTATAGTGTAGTGTGTAGGTTAAACGTGAGTTTTATAAGGGCACCACGGGGTGACCAGCCCCTCCCCACCCAGCCCCACCCCTCCCAATGCCCCACCCAGCCCCACCCTCCCCACCCAGCCCCTCCCCACCCTCCCACCCAGCCCCTCCCCACCCTCTCCTCCCCACCCAGCCCCTCCCCACCCCACCCAGCCCCTCCCTCCCCACCCAGCCCCCTCCTCACCCTCCCCTCTCCACCCAGCCCCTCCCCACCCCACCCCACCCAGCCCCTCCCTCCCCACCCAGCCCCTCCCACCCTCCCCTCTCCACCCAGCCCCTCCCCCAGTTCCATTTTGTGAATAAAACATTACCCGTCTCCTCATTGGCCCGAGTCGCAGCGGTGCCCCCCCCCCCACCACTAACCCCCCCCTCTACCAACCCCAACCCACCGCTCCCATTGGTCGGCGCCCCCGAGCCAATGGGAGGGCTCTGGTGGGGTGGGGCTATGCACGACAGACAAGCGATCCCTGGTGGGCAATGTGGAAACAGGACCCTGCGGGGTGGGCTGGTAGGAACGAACAATTGAATGGCTATAATAAAATTAAATGGCAAAAAGTGGCCGCCAGTAACCCCGCCCGGCCACCCGTGGCCCCGCCCCATCTCGGTGTCCCCGCCCCCAGCTCGTTGCCCCGCCCCTTACCGCCGTAACCCCGCCCCAACCCCACGTAGCCCCGCCCTCCACCTCGTGCCCACGCCCCCTGCCGCCGTTGCCCTGCCCAGTCCGGCGTAGCCCCGCCCCCTGCCGCTGTAGCCCCGCCCAATACACCCCGAGCGGGGGAGAGATTCCCAGGCCTGGCTCGGCTGGAGAGCCGCCGACGAGGGGGGGGGGGGGGGTAGGGAGTTGTTTTTAATGTAAAAGCTTTAAATGTAAATGTTTCTATTAAAAAAACATCAGGGAATGTAACATTGTTAAACATTAACTCCCTTTCACACACGCGGGGGTACGATACGAAGGGAAAGTTTGACGCCTAGGTCTAGGCTTTAGGCCTAGCTGTAGGCTTTAGGCCGCCGTGAGTTAATTGTTAATATAAATGTTTTAATTATTTATGTAAAAGCTTTAAATGTAAATGTTTCTATTTAAAAGCATCAGGGAATGTAACATTGTTAAACATTAACTCCCTTTCACACACGCGGGGGTACGATATGAATGGAGAGTTTCAGGCCTAGTTCTAGGCTTTAGGCCTAGCTGTAGGCTTTAGGGCGCTGTGAGTTTTTAATTTAATTTCAAAGTTTTAATTAAAAGCTATCTCAGGGAATTATAAGGGAATGTTACACGTGTTTAGCCAGGAAAGCCTCATTAATTTAAATGTTTTAATTAAAAGCTATCTGAGGGAATTATAAGGGAATGTTACACTTGTTTAGCCAGGAAAGCGTCACTGAGTCTAAAGGTTTTTGTAGGGTTATGCCAAGTGTTTGCAGTAGGGGGTGATGTTGCTACACGGACGGACGGACGGACGGACAAACGGACGGACGATATAATCTATTGTAGGCTGGTCCACTTCGTTCCTACCAGTACTAATAATACGTTATACTGGTAGGAACGAAGTGGACCAGCCACCAATAGATTATTTCGTCCGTCCGTCCGTCTGTCCGTCCGACCGTCCGTCCGTGTAGCAACATCGCCCCCTACTGCAAACACTTGGCATGACCCTAAAAAAACCTTTAGACTCAGTGACGCTTTCCTGGCTAAACAAGTGTAACATTCCCTTATAATTCCCTCATATAGCTTTTAATTAAAACATTTAAATTAATGAGGCTTTCCTGGCTAAACACGTGTAACATTCCCTTATAATTCCCTGAGATAGCTTTTAATTAAAACTTTGAAATTCAATAAAAAAACTCACAGCACACTAAAGCCTACAGCTAGGCCTAAAGCCTAGAACTAGGTTTCGATTTAAAGCTTTCGTGACTGCAGGGATTCATCTTCTTGGTTCTTTCGGTAAAGTCACGTAGAAGGGAAGTAATAAAATAATAAAAATAAAACATAATAAAATCAAATAATTCTCACGACGTTTCGGCTACAACGGAAGCAGCCGTCTTCAGGTGAAGAATGAGACACTGTCAAGCTAGGAGCTTATATATAAGCTGAGTTGGAGGTGGAAGAAGAAGAGAGCCTTAACAAAAGAATGTGCATATCAAGTGGAATTTAGCATATTCATGGGAAAATGCGTAGGAGGTGGGCGGGGGGGTTTCAAAGTCATATTATGCCCATGCATTATGCAGGATCAGCAGCACCAAAGGGAGGGGGGGTAGCATTAACAAAGGGAGGGCATGTTAATAATATGTAGAAGCAATGAAACATGTGATTGGGAGAATGGTGGCAGGAGACCCGCAGCGGAGCAAATAATGCATTCCCTGTGGAGAACACAAGATACACAGTTAATGCCAGTGAGTGGACTGCGGTCTGAAAGTCACCATAAACGTGAACAACAATCAGTTAAGATCCGAAGTGGTTTATTACGTCCTTCCAATGATTGCTGAGCCAGAATCCATCTTCTCGGTTGAAATTGTCTCTGTGTTTGTATATGTTGATCGCCTCATGAACGAATCTCTCATGGTAGCCAGATGGCTTGCAGAGAACCTCTGTCTTGGAGAAGTCAATGTCATGTGAGCCCACTGAATTGTAACAGTGATCTGCCACGGCTGAGGTGTTTGTCCTACCATGTTTCAGGTCTGCTTTATGTTCACGGATGCGATCCGAGACATGTCGTTTGGTTTCTCCAATGTAACTGCTACCACAGAGGCAACTTAGTTTGTAGACGCCAGGGTACTGTATGTCTGGAACCACGTCTTTTACAGACGGGACCAGATCACGGATTTTATGTACTGTGTTGAATCGTACCTGAATCTTGTGTTTAATCAGGATTTTGGAGATCTTTTTTGTGACCCCAGCAATGTAGGGTAAGGTGATGGTTTTGAAAGGTTCCTCAGCAGGATCCTTCTTGACTGTTGGAGTGATGGCCTTGCGGATTGTGTAGTCGGAGTAACCATTATCCTCAAGAGCTTGGCGTACGTGTTTGAGTTCACTGGCAATGTGTTCCTGGTCGGAGATGCATTGGGTTCTATGGTATAGAGTCTTGATGAGGGAGTTCTTCTGGGATGGATGGTGGTGGGAATCCGGTTTTAGGTAGGCATCCGTATGGGTGGCTTTCCTGTAGACAGAATGGCTCATTGAACCATCAGGTCTCCTTTTAATTAGGACATCCAAAAAGGGTAGCTTGCCATCTTTTTCGACTTCCATGGTGAATCTGATGGCTGGGTGTATGGAATTGATGTGGTCGAGAAATTGGTCTAGAGCAGGCCGGCCATGTGGCCAGATGACAAAAGTGTCATCTACGTACCTCTTCCATAAGGTCGGGCATAGAGTGGCAGTCTTGATGGCGTCAGTCTCAAATTTCTCCATGAAAATGTTGGCTACAACCGGAGATAGGGGGGAGCCCATTGGGGTGCCCTCAGTTTGCTTGTAGAAGGTTCCATTCCAGGTGAAGTATGTATTGGTTAAGCAATGTCTCACCAGGGGGGGTACCCCAGTATTCAGTCCTTGATGAACCAAGTCTTCAATGATTGCGATGGTGTCAGGCCTGAAACTCTCCCTTCGTATCGTACCCCCGCGTGTGTGAAAGGGAGTTAATGTTTAACAATGTTACATTCCCTCATGTTTTTAAATAGAAACATTTAAATTTAAAGCTTTTACATTAATAATTAAAACATTTAAATTAAAAATTAACTCACGGCGGCGTAAAGCCTACAGCTAGGCCTAAAACCTAGAACTAGGCCTGAAACTCTCCCTTCGTATCGTAACCCCGCGTGTGTGAAAGGGAGTTAATGTTTAACAATGTTACATTTCCTCATGTTTTTAAATAGAAACATTTACATTTAAAGCTTTTACATAAATCATTAAAACATTTAAATAAAAAATTAACTCACAGCGCCCTAAAGCCTACAGCTAGGCCTAAAGCCTAGAACTAGGCCTCAATCTCTCCCTTCGTATTGTCCGATTAGATGTAGCAACATCGCCCCCTACTGCAAACACTTGGCAGGACCCTACAAAAACCTTCAGACTCAGTGGGGCTTTCCTGGCTAAACAAGTGTAATAATACATTATGTTTATATTCTTTGGTTATTCGTTCCTACCAGCCCACCCCGCAGGGTCCTGTTTTATTATTATATTATTTTATTTCTATTATTATTTCTATTTTTTATGAATATTATTTCTATAATTTTTATTATTTATTTTTATTCTCACCTACGTGACTTTACCGAAAAAACCTAAGAGGATGAATCCTTGCAGTTACGAAAGCTTCAAATCCAGTGTGAAGCTGTTGTTCCTACATTGTATAACCACTGTGATAAGGAATCGAACTCTGCGCATTGATCACAATTGAAAATCGACAAATCCCAAACTGTTAAACACCACGTGGGAATCGATATTCACAGCAGCCTCAGAGGAATCTAATAATTATAATCGACATAATTGAATCGACGACAAGAGAATCGATCCAACCGAGCGTTTTACAAAAAAACACAACCAAGGGCGTGGAATCGATCCGACTAATTCGATTCCATCGATTCGACAGCTTAATTAAACCTAACCTTAAATGCGCGTGAATCGATTACGGGTGGTGTCGTTTGGTGTCGAATCGTAACGGGGGGGAATCGAATCGACCACCGGTCACCATCATCATCATCACTGCTCTTGAAGGGCAACTCGATTACGATGTTCTCTGCGGTCGTTCGCTTCTCGTTACGTGAGCGATGCTGGCGAGCCGGCTCGAGGGGCATCACCGGGGCCGCCACGTGGAGGGGGAGGAGAGCAGAGGTCGTGCCGCGCGCTGTGAGTGATGTCCACCCGTCCCCTAGGTCGACTCAGCCTCAAATGAGTAGCTGGTGCGGTGTGTAAATATCGCCACTGGGGAGACAAAGACGGCCGGGCGTGGTGCTGGCCACCCAACGCAATCCTCGTGTGCTGTTCAGGCCTTGATCGGTTGCTGCTACTCGCTAACAGCACTTGCCTCTACAGTCTGGCAAGGCTACACGGGGGATCTTTGTCTTTGTGTGCGAGTTGGGGGGTGGGGGTGGTGAGCGGTGGCGCAGTGGTTAGCGCGCTGCGCAGTCTATGGACAGTGTTGAGTCTATGGGCAGTGCTGAGTCTATGGGCAGTGCTGAGTCTTTGGGTAGTGTTGAGTCTATGGGCAGTGTTGAGTCTATGGGCAGTGTTGAGTCTTTGGGCAGTGTTGAGTCTATGGGTAGTGTTGAGTCTATGGGTAGTGTTGAGTCTATGGGCAGTGTTGAGTCTATGGGCAGTGTTGAGTCTATGGGTAGTGCTGAGTCTATGGGTAGTGTTGAGTCTATGGGTAGTGTTGAGTCTATGGGCAGTGTTGAGTCTATGGGTAGTGTTGAGTCTATGGGTAGTGCTGAGTCTATGGGTAGTGTTGAGTCTATGGGCAGTGTTGAGTCTATGGGCAGTGTTGAGTCTATGGGCAGTGTTGAGTCTATGGGCAGTGTTGAGTCTATGGGTAGTGTTGAGTCTATGGGCAGTGTTGAGTCTATGGGCAGTGTTGAGTCTATGGGTAGTGTTGAGTCTATGGGTAGTGTTGAGTCTATGGGCAGTGCTGAGTCTATGGGCAGTGTTGAGCCTATGGGCAGTGTTGAGTCTATGGGTAGTGTTGAGTCTATGGGCAGTGTTGAGTCTATGTGCAGTGCTGAGTCTATGGGCAATGCTAGTCTATGGGTAGTGTTGAGTCTATGGGTAGTGTTGAGTCTATGGGTAGTGTTGAGTCTATGGGTAGTGTTGAGTCTATGGGCAGTGCTGAGTCTATGGGCAATGCTAGTCTATGGGTAGTGTTGAGTCTATGGGCAGTGTTGAGTCTATGGGCAGTGCTGAGTCTATGGGTAGTGTTGAGTCTATGGGCAGTGTTGAGTCTATGGGTAGTGTTGAGTCTATGGGCAGTGCTGAGTCTATGGTGCAGTGCTGAGTCTATGGGCAGTGTTGAGGCTATGGTGCAGTGTTGAGTCTATGGGCAGTGTTGAGTCTATGGGTAGCAGTGTTGCGTCTATGGTGCAGTGTTGAGTCTATGGGCAGTGTTGAGTCTATGGGCAGTGTTGAGTCTATGGGCGGTGTTGAGTCTGTGGGCAGTGTTGAGTCTCTGGGTAGTGTTAAGTCTATGGGCAGTGTTGAGTCTATGGGCAGTGTTGAGTCTATGGGTAGTGTTGAGTCTATGGGGCAGTATTGAGTCTATGGGCAGTGTTGAGTCTATGGGCAGTGTTGAGTCTATGGGCAGTGTTGAGTCTATGGGCAGTGCTGAGTCTATGGGCAGTGTTCAGTCTATGGGCAGTGCTGAGTCTATGGGCAGTGTTGAGTCTATGCGTAGTCTTGAGTCTATGGGCAGTGTTGAGTCTATGGGCAGTGTTGAGTCTATGGGCAGTGTTGAGTCTATGGGCAGTGTTGAGTCTTCTATGGGCAGTGTTGAGTCTATAGGCAGTGTTGAGTCTATGGGCAGTGTTAAGTCTATGGGTAGTGCTGAGTCTATGGGTAGTGCTGAGTCTATGGGTAGTGCTGAGTCTATGGGCAGTGTTGAGTCTATGGGCAGTGCTGAGTCTATGGGCAGTGTTGAGTCTATGGGCAGTGTTGAGTCTATGGGCAGTGTTGAGTCTATGGGCAGTGTTGAGTCTATGGGCAGTGCTGAGTCTATGGGCAGTGTTGAGTCTATGGGCAGTGTTGAGTCTATGGGTAGTGCTGAGTCTATGGGCAATGTTGAGTCTATGGGCAGTGTTAGTCTATGGGTAGTGTTGAGTCTATGGGCAGTGTTGAGTCTATGGGCAGTGTTGAGTCTATGGGCAGTGCTGAGTCTATGGGTAGTGTTGAGTCTATGGGTAGTGTTGAGTCTATGGGTAGTGCTGAGTCTATGGGTAGTGTTGAGTCTATGGGTAGTGTTGAGTCTATGGGCAGTGTTGAGTCTATGGGCAGTGCTGAGTCTATGGGCAGTGTTGAGTCTATGGGTAGTGTTGAGTCTATGGGTAGTGCTGAGTCTATGGGTAGTGTTGAGTCTATGGGTAGTGTTGAGTCTATGGGCAGTGTTGAGTCTATGGGTAGTGTTGAGTCTATGGGTAGTGCTGAGTCTATGGGTAGTGTTGAGTCTATGGGTAGTGTTGAGTCTATGGGCAGTGTTGAGTCTATGGGTAGTGTTGAGTCTATGGGTAGTGCTGAGTCTATGGGTAGTGTTGAGTCTATGGGCAGTGTTGAGTCTATGGGCAGTGTTGAGTCTATGGGCAGTGTTGAGTCTATGGGCAGTGTTGAGTCTATGGGTAGTGTTGAGTCTATGGGCAGTGTTGAGTCTATGGGCAGTGTTGAGTCTATGGGTAGTGTTGAGTCTATGGGCAGTGCTGAGTCTATGGGCAGTGTTGAGCCTATGGGCAGTGTTGAGTCTATGGGTAGTGTTGAGTCTATGGGCAGTGTTGAGTCTATGTGCAGTGCTGAGTCTATGGGCAATGCTAGTCTATGGGTAGTGTTGAGTCTATGGGTAGTGTTGAGTCTATGGGTAGTGTTGAGTCTATGGGTAGTGTTGAGTCTATGGGCAGTGCTGAGTCTATGGGCAATGCTAGTCTATGGGTAGTGTTGAGTCTATGGGCAGTGTTGAGTCTATGGGCAGTGCTGAGTCTATGGGTAGTGTTGAGTCTATGGGCAGTGTTGAGTCTATGGGTAGTGTTGAGTCTATGGGCAGTGCTGAGTCTATGGTGCAGTGCTGAGTCTATGGGCAGTGTTGAGGCTATGGTGCAGTGTTGAGTCTATGGGCAGTGTTGAGTCTATGGGTAGCAGTGTTGCGTCTATGGTGCAGTGTTGAGTCTATGGGCAGTGTTGAGTATATGGGCGGTGTTGAGTCTGTGGGCAGTGTTGAGTCTCTGGGTAGTGTTAAGTCTATGGGCAGTGTTGAGTCTATGGGCAGTGTTGAGTCTATGGGCAGTGTTGAGTCTATGGGTAGTCTTGAGTCTATGGGGCAGTATTGAGTCTATGGGCAGTGTTGAGTCTATGGGCAGTGTTGAGTCTATGGGCAGTGTTGAGTCTATGGGCAGTGCTGAGTCTATGGGCAGTGTTCAGTCTATGGGCAGTGCTGAGTCTATGGGCAGTGTTGAGTCTATGCGTAGTCTTGAGTCTATGGGCAGTGTTGAGTCTATGGGCAGTGTTGAGTCTATGGGCAGTGTTGAGTCTATGGGCAGTGTTGAGTCTATGGGCAGTGTTGAGTCTATGGGCAGTGCTGAGTCTATGGGTAGTGTTGAGTCTATGGGCAGTGTTGAGTCTTCTATGGGCAGTGTTGAGTCTATGGGCAGTGTTGAGTCTATGGGCAGTGTTAAGTCTATGGGTAGTGCTGAGTCTATGGGTAGTGCTGAGTCTATGGGCAGTGTTGAGTCTATGGGCAGTGCTGAGTCTATGGGCAGTGTTGAGTCTATGGGCAGTGTTGAGTCTATGGGCAGTGTTGAGTTGAGTTCTATGGGCAGTGTTGAGTCTATGGGCAGTGCTGAGTCTATGGGCAGTGTTGAGTCTATGGGCAGTGTTGAGTCTATGGGTAGTGCTGAGTCTATGGGCAATGTTGAGTCTATGGGCAGTGTTAGTCTATGGGTAGTGTTGAGTCTATGGGCAGTGTTGAGTCTATGGGCAGTGTTGAGTCTATGGGCAGTGCTGAGTCTATGGGCAGTGTTGAGTCTATGGGCAGTGTTGAGTCTATGGGTAGTGCTGAGTCTATGGGCAATGTTGAGTCTATGGGCAGTGTTAGTCTATGGGTAGTGTTGAGTCTATGGGCAGTGCTGAGTCTATGGGCAGTGTTGAGTCTATGGGCAGTGTTGAGTCTATGGGTAGTGTTGAGTCTATGGGCAGTGTTGAGTCTATGGGCAGTGTTAGTCTATGGGTAGTGCTGAGTCTATGGGCAGTGTTGAGTCTATGGGCAGTGTTGAGTCTATGGGCAGTGCTGAGTCTATGGGCAGTGTTGAGTCTGTGGGCAGTGCTGAGTCTGTGGGCAGTGCTGAGTCTATGGGCAGTGTTGAGTCTTTGGGTAGTGCTGAGTCTATGGGCAGTGTTGAGTCTATGGGCAGTGCTGAGTCTATGGGCAGTATTGAGTCTATGGGCAGTGTTGAGTCTATGCGCAGTGTTGAGTCTATGGGCAGTGTTGAGTCTATGGGCAGTGTTGAGTCTATGGGCGGTGTTGAGTCTATGCGCAGTGTTGAGTCTATGGGCAGTGTTGAGTCTATGGGCAGTGCTGAGTCAATGGGCAATGTTGAGTCTATGGGCAGTGTTGAGTCTATAAGCAGTGCTGAGTCAATTGGCAATGTTGAGTCTATGGGCAGTGTTGAGTCTATGGGGAGTGTTGAGTCTATGGGCAGTGTTGAGTCTATGGGCAGTGTTGAGTCTATGGGCAGTGTTGAGTCTATGCGCAGTGTTGAGTCTATGGGCAGTGTTGAGTCTATGGGTAGTGTTGAGTATATGGGCAGTGTTGAGTCTATGGGCAGTGTTGAGTCTATGGGCAGTGCTGAGTCTATGGGCAGTGTTGAGTCTATGGGCAGTGTTAGTCTATGGGCAATGTTAGTCTATGGGCAGTGTTGAGTCTATGGGCAGTGTTAGTCTATGGGCAATGTTAGTCTATGGGCAGTGTTGAGTCTATGGGTAGTGCTGAGTCTATGGTAGGTGTTAGTCTATGGGCAGTGTTAGTCTATGGGCAGTGTTGAGTCTATGGGCAGTGTTGAGTCTATGTGCAGTGTTGAGTCTATGGGCAGTGTTGAGTCTATGGGCGGTGTTGAGTCTATGGGCGGTGTTGAGTCTATGGGCGGTGTTGAGTCTATGTGCAGTGTTGAGTCTATGGGCAGTGTTGAGTCTATGTGCAGTGTTGAGTCTATGGGCAGTGTTGAGTCTATGTGCAGTGTTGAGTCTATGGGCAGTGTTGAGTCTATGGGCAGTGTTGAGTCTATGGGCAGTGTTGAGTCTATGGGCGGTGTTGAGTCTATGTGCAGTGTTGAGTCTATGTGCAGTGTTGAGTCTATGTGCAGTGTTGAGTCTATGGGCAGTGTTGAGTCTATGGGCAGTGTTGAGTCTATGGGCAGTGTTGAGTCTATGGGCAGTGTTGAGTCTATGGGCGGTGTTGAGTCTATGGGCGGTGTTGAGTCTATGTGCAGTGTTGAGTCTATGGGCAGTGTTGAGTCTATGGGCGGTGTTGAGTCTATGTGCAGTGTTGAGTCTATGTGCAGTGTTGAGTCTATGTGCAGTGTTGAGTCTATGGGCAGTGTTGAGTCTATGGGCGGTGTTGAGTCTATGGGCGGTGTTGAGTCTATGGGCAGTATGTATGTTGAACTTCTGTTGCACTGTACGTAGCACAAAATCGTGCTAATCGGAGGTGCAGGGGGGTAGGAAAGTCGTGTAATATTCTTCAAGGGCCATGCTTAAACTCGTTGTCTGCTATATCGATGTTTTTAAATCCTTTATATTAAGTTCGCTTGCTTGCTTAGGACCGTGCAAATCTTTCGGTCGTTTTTTAATCCACTTCCCGTGATCCAATCGAGCTGACATTTTCCACACAGACTCGTTGTGCGTGACAATTAATGTTCGTGAAAATTTTTTTTCCAAAATTTTACACTTTTTAGGACAAAAATATTATATTTAATTACCAATTGCTTAATGATGCAATGCAATCATCTGACCCATAGGTGGCAGCCATCTCAAGCCAGAGGACGAGAGGACTCTAGCCGCCACGCATATAAAGGATTTATAGTGAAAAACTTTGTTTCTACGTGTTATACTTATTTTAGTCCTTGTTTTGCTACTGTTGCTAAAGCGTCCATCATCAGGTGGAACGGACGCTTGTGTTGCGATCGAAACGTCGTGCTATATTATTTTATCTGACTTTACCGAAAGAACCAAAGAGTATGGATTCCTGCAGTCACGAAAGCCTCAAATCGAGATTGAATCTCGGCACTGATAAGGGGTTGACGGGTCTGAGATGCAGAGCAGCACACGACTTCCAATTTCAAATTCAAGGTGGTGGGGGGGTCAAGCCAGCAGATACCCGCGTCAGGAGTAGTAGCAGCAGCGGGGGTCGTCTTGTATCGTCGCTGGTGGTGTCTCCTCTTTCGTATTTGTGGATCGGGGGCATCGTTACGTTGTCACACGTTGCTGCTGCTGTTGTTGTTGTTGCTGCTGTTGTTGCTGCTGCTGTTGTTGTTGCTGTTGTTGCTGCTGCTGTTGCTGTTGTTGCTGCTGCTGTTATTGTTGTTGCTGCTGCTGCTGTTGTTGATGTTGTTGTTGTTGCTGCTGCTGTTGCTGCTGCTGTTGCTGTTTTGCTGCTGCTGTTGTTGCTGCTGCTGTTGTTGCTGCTGCTGTTGTTGTTGCTGCTGTTGTTGTTGCGGTCTCAGTTCCTGGATGAGCACAGTCGCCACGCTGCTACTGGAGAGGTGGTTCTTTTTTCATCGCACTTTTCCATTGGTGCATCATCGCCGATCCGCATCTGCTGCTGCTGCCCGTTGGTTTGTGCGGTGGATGCGGTGTGAGGGGTGCGGGACCATGAGGTGTGAGCACTGACGTTCTGTAGCGCAAGCGTGTTTGCGAATGCCGTATGATGTTTATATGGGCGCGCTCGTGTGTGCGTACGTGCACGCGTGTGTGTGCGTGAACACGTGTGTGTGTGTGTGTGCGTCTCACACCCACATGCGTGCGTACACGTGCGTGTGTGTGTGCGCGAACACGTGTGTTTGTGTGCGTGCATGGGCACGTGTGTGTGTGCGCGTGCGTCACACACACACACATGCGCGCGTGCACACGCACAGCAAGTTGGCACAGTAGGGGGCACAGGTGGTGCATCAGCCAGTCATCTCAGTCAAGTCAACCCGTGGCACCTTCTGGGTCTGCCCTGTGATCTCTTGCCAGCGGGTGTTCGACACTTCACGTGGCCTAAACGTGCACATGGCCTGGCACAAGCGTCGCGGAGACGTTATCGCCACCGTGTGGCGAATGGCGGCTATTGTAGTTGTACACGCGCATTTGTGTGTGTGCGTACACGTGTGTGTGCGTGTGTGTGCGTACACGTGTGTGTGTGCGTACACGTGTGTGTGTGTGTGCGTGTGTGTGCATGTGTGTGTGCGTACACGTGTGTGTGTGCAAGTGTGTGCGTGTGTGTGTGTGCGTACACGTGTGTGTGTGTGCGTGTGTGCGTGCGTACACGTATGTGTACACGTGTGTGTGTGTGTGCGTGCGTACACGTATGTGTACACGTGTGTGTGTGAGTACGTGTGTGTGCGTGTGTACACGTGTGTGTGCGTGTGTACACGTGTGTGTGCGTGTGTACACGTGTGTGTGCGTACACGTGTGTGTGCATACACGTGTGTGTGTGTACACGCGTGCGTGTGTGTGAGTACGTGTGTGTGTGCGTGTGTACACGTGTGTGTGTGTGTGAGTACGTGTGTGTGCGTGTGTACACGTGTGTGTGTGTGTACACGCGTGCGTGTGTACACGTGTGTGTGTGTGCGTACGCGTGTGTGTGTGTACACGCGTGCGTGTGTACACGTGTGTGCGTGTGTGTGTGCGTACGCGTGTGTGTGTGTGTACACGTGTGTGTGCGTGTGTACACGTGTGTGTGCGCCTGTGACCAACTTGCATCTCGAAAGCTAAGCACGTCTGAGCCCGGATTGTGTCAAGTTGGGCGACGTCCTGCACCACGAGATTCCTTCCGACATTAGCAAGCCACGGGGAGCTACGCACTTTCAAGTCGTCACACTAACTTCTTCAGAACTGCTTTTCGCGCGTTCAGTTTGTCGTCCTTCCAGCCCGCCCGCCCGCACCTCCGTATTGGCGACGGTTTGTCTCCATACGTACGGCGCGAAAGAAGTCCAACTCGCTATACGTGCATTGCAGGTCATCTCACCTCTGTGGAAGCAGCAGCAGCAGCCGCCACGCCACCCGAGTGCAGTGTGCGCTCGCTTCCTGGCGGACAGCGCCACCGCGGACGCCTCGGTGCACGACCGAGTGATGCTGGTGCTGAAGGCGTATGACAAGGTGGACCCGCAGAAGGTGAGCGAGGGGACGAGCGGCGCGATGCCACGCAAACAAATTGCAAAGGTCCCCCGTGTAGCCCGTGGCAGGCTGTCGGGGCAAGTGCGGTTAGTCAGCAGCAGCGCCTGCGAAGGCCGGGGGTCGGGTGGGTCAGCACCACGCCCGGCCGCCTTTGTCTCCCCCAGCGGCGATGTTTACCGCGCACCGCACCGGGTACTCATTTGAGGCTGAGTCGACCTAGGGGGGAGGCCCAGGACGGCTTCAGATAATCATCGGCGGTGTTGGACCGTGAGCGGGAATCGAACTTGTAACCTACAAATCTCTACACACGCATTCACATGCCTCTACACACACATTCACATGCCTCTACACACACTCACATGCCTCTACACACGTTCGTATATGTACACTCTCACTCGTACACATCTGTGTTACGCAACGCACAAAGACCACAAATATGGCCTTGAACATACTATCTTATTTGACAGGTACTATTCTACTTTACCGAGTGTTGACATCCCCAGCGTTTAACAGTACTCTCCTTTTTGTATTTGGATTGTCAACCAACACCGGGTACAACAACAACATGTGCACCTGTTGTTCTCTTTTAGCCCCGCCTACCCCCCCCCCAATACGTTCCACTCATTGGCTACCACATTCAGATAAGCCCCTCCCCCCTCCTCCCCCCTTAACTTGTATTTAAGAGCTTGTATCTTGGAATCTCTGCCTCACTTGATACAGCAAATCTGGCTGTGACGGTCCCACCTGAAGACGGAGATTTGTGTTGCCTCCGAAACTATTATTTATATACTATTTATTATGTTTACCTACGCGACTTTACCGAAAAAAGTATGAATCCTTGCAGTCACGAAAGCTTCAAATTGGCCTTGAACAGACTATGTTGGGGAAAGTGCGAGCCCCTAGTTACGTACACATGCACTCGCACACACGGTTACGTATCTTTACACACTCACGGTTACACGCACGCACACACGTGGCTGTGAATGTTCCTGTGTGCGGGGAGCGGTAGCGCAGCGGTGAGCGCGCCGCGCTACGAACCCGGCGACCCGAGTTCGGCTCCCGCTCGCGGCCAACACCGGTGACGATCGTCTGAACCGGTGCTGCGCCTCCCCTAGGTCGACTCGGCCTCAAATGAGTGTGTAAACATCGGGCCGGGCGTGGTGCTGGCCACCCACCCACCCCCTCGTGTGCCGTGCCGGCCTTCATAGGTGCTGCTACTCGCCCACAACATTTGCCCCCCACGCTACGGTCTGTTGAAGGCCACGCGGGCGATTCTTTGTCTTCGCAGCTAACGCTAGAGTCTCACTTCCTGAAAGACCTGGGCCTTGACAGCTTGGATCAAGTGGAGCTCATCATGGGCATCGAGGATGAGTTTGGTGAGAGATTGCGGAGAGACACAGACACTCGCACACAAAGGCAGAAGAAGCCGTGTAGCCTCGCACGGACTGTTGGGGCAAGTGCTGTTAGTGAGCAGCTGTGAAGGCCGACTTAGCACACGATGCGGCGGAGTCGTTAGCACCACGCACGGCCGCCTTTGTCTCCCCAGTGGCGACGTTTTGTACGCACCGCTACGCCAGGTACTCGTTTAATGCACGGGTGGAAAAAACCCGATTTTTGCAGCGGCAGGCATCGTGTTTTTTCTTTAATACAATTGAACCCGATTTCGGGGAGTTAAAACCCGGTTTAATGAATACGAAGCTCTGATCCAAGGCTTAGGCTGCTTCCTCGTCGGTGCTGCTGTCGTATTCGGGGGGGGGCGTCGGGCACGGGGTAGTCGTAGAATGCGGCGGGCAGGTTGGTCGTGATGAACACGAGCTTCTCCTCCACAATCGTGGGCGCCGCCAGTGAGTTCCTTAGCTTGGGGAATGGATGAAGCCCATCGCTGAGAAGTGCGATTCTGCAATTAGAACCAATGAAACCGGATTTCTCCCAATCTCAGATGATCGGGATTAATATAAAAAGACAATTAAATCGGATTTCTCCCAATCTCAGATGATCGGGATTAATATAAAAAGACAATTAAATCGGATTTCTCCCAATCTCAGATGATCGGGTTTAATATAAAAAGACAATTAAATCGGATTTCTCTCAATCTCAGATGATCGGGTTTAATATAAAAAGACAATTAAATCGGATTTCTCCCAATCTCAGATGATCGGGATTAATATAAAAAGACAATTAAATCGGATTTCTCCCAATCTCAGATGATCGGGATTAATATAAAAAGACAATTAAATCGGATTTCTCCTAATCTCAGATGATCGGGTTTAATATAAAAAGGCAATTTTTGTAAAAAACCCGACTGTGCCAGGTGTGACTGGTGCGTGTGGTGTGTCTGGGGTGATTGGGGTGCCTGGAGTGACTGGCATGTCTGCTGTGCCTGTAATATCTAGCGTGTCTGGTATGTCTGGTGTGCCTGCCGTGCCGACCGACATTCCCTTGTCTTTGCCGTCCCAGGTTTTGAAATCCCCGACTCGGACGCAGAGAAGCTGCTCACAGCTAAGGACGTCATCGCCTACGTCAGCAAGAAGCTCAGCGAGTAGCACGCCGGAGAGCCGGGGGGGGGTGGCGGCATCACCGGCGCGGCTTGAGGTGTGCGTCTCGCAAGGGCACGGCGACACGGCGACAAGCCGGCCAGCCGACACGGGCCCCGATGCTCTTTCACGTTGTGATCATCTTCAGCTTGGCGTGCCGCGCGCACGGAAGCTTACGAGCGACGCGTTGATTTTGCCGGTGTCAAAGTGGAGAAAACATGAGAATGTGTCGATTTAAAGCTTTCGTGACTGCAGGGATTCATCTTCTTGGTTCTTTCGGTAAAGTCACGTAGAATGGAAATAATACAATGATAAAAATAAAACATAATACAATAACTCACGGAGAATGGAAATAATAAAATATTTAAAATAAAACATTATTAAATAATTCTCAATTTTATTATGTTTTATTTTTATTATTTTATTACTTCTATTCTACGTGACTTTACGGAAATAACCAAGAAAATGAGAATGTGCTTTACGCTCTATGGCAATAAAATGGGATTCGTGTTAAGAGTTTCAAACACCAAATAAGGTGCCTTTTTCAAGGATTCGAGTTCCTGCATGAACCAGACGCAATTCCTTGCGGTGAACACGCAAACACAATCGCGTGGCTTTGATGACAATCTATGATGCATTCAATCTTGATTTGAAGTTTTCGTGACTGCAGGGATCCATACTCTTTGGTTCTTTCGGTAAAGTCACGTGGTCGTGTGTGTGCGTGTTTTTTTTCAGGGTGAAAATCGTCGTTAGCTTCGGCACTGAACAAGACGCACCTTTCACTATTTAAACAATAAAATCTGAACGCGAAAGAAACGCAGGGAGTCGCCGTTATATGTTATTGACCCGCACACAGACGATCCGAAGGTCACCCGTGGTTTGAATGTTTTTTATTCGTCTTCGTCCCCCTGTTTTGTTATCACAAGTTCCATAAATATTCTGAATTCCTCTGTTGATATGTAAACTCCTTTGTCAAGGCGATCTCCTCCTCTAACCCAGCTTAAATATACGCTGCCAAGCCTGGTGGTGTTCATTCGGACGCTGTCTTTCCGGCAGCCCTGTTCTTCACCTGAGGATGGCTGCTTGCGTTGTGGCCGAAACGTCGTGAGAATTGTATTTTATTACGTTTTATTTGTGTCTTGCGTGCGTTCCGGTGCATCCTATTCGAACCGTTCAAAAGTTCACACTTTCTGCTGATGGTGTGGTTGGCCCTGTCGGCGGCGGGAGGCGGCGTTTCCTCCAAACTTTAAAAGCCTCGGGACCGGACGGGCTTACATTTTTTGTTTTAAGCTCCGTCAAAACCCACCCGCCCCCACTGCACGAAGCACGCGTGGCCTCCTCCCTGTTCAATCGGTAGGCCAGAAGTGAAATTATAGTTTAGTTTTTCTCAGCGGGCCGGACTGTCGACGTGAGGCCCGCGTCGTCGTTGAGACTAGTGCTAGTCGCCATTTACACGGCGGTGAAGAGTCCGCTCGTTGTTGGGATGTTCAGACACCGCCAGCGTGGGTTGTTAATGCGCACGTTTTAAAAATTCATCTTCTTGGTTCTTTCGGTAAAGTCACGTAGACGGGAAATGAAACATAATAAAATACAATTCTCATGACGTTTCGGCCACAATGCAAGCAGCCGTCCTCAAGTGAAGAACAGGTCTGTCGAGAAGACAGCGTCTGAATGTCTTTCCGGCAGACCTGTTCTTCACCTGAGGACGGCTGCTTGCGTTGTGGCCGAAACGTCGTGAGAATTGTATTTTATTATGTTGTATTATTTTATTATTTCCCTTCTACGTGACTTTACCGAAAGAACCAAGAAGATGAATCCCTGCAGTCACGAAAACTTTCAATCGAAATTTGTGAAGTCCCTTTGCTGCAACAGCTCACGGTTGAATCTCTTTCGCGCCGCACGTAACCAACCCGCGCTGATCGGGAGGTGCCGTGGAAAAAGCTACAAACTCGACGCAAAAAGAGTCGATTTCCACCCCCACCCCCCAATCCAGATGATTCAAAAGTGCGCACAGCTCCCGGTGTGTCCTCACTCCTATCAGCAGGAAGAGGGTTCCAGACGGCCGCAGGATACCGAACGATCGTGTCGCTCGCCGGCGGGGTCGGACGTGGCCCCCGGCGCTCGTGGCGCGTCTGTCCCGCTTGTCACCACCGAGGTTCCGGCCGTTCCAATCCGGCAGGCACCCCCCAGAGGTCGCAACCGGGTACCCGATACCCGTACCCTACCCAATACCTGTACCCTATCCGATACCTGTACCCTACCTGATACCTGTACCCTACCTGATACCTGTACCCTACCTGATACCTGTACCCTACCCGATACCCGTACCCTACCCGATACCCAGACCCTACCCGATGCCCGTACCCTACCCGATACCCTACCCGATACCCGTACCCTACCCGATACCCGATACCCTACCCGATACCCGTACCCTACCCGATACCCGTACCCTACCCGATACCCGTACCCTACCCGATAGCCGGACCCTACCCGATACCCGTACCCTACCCGATACCCGGACCCTACCCGATACCCGTACCCTACCCGATACCCGTACCCTACCCGATACCCGTACCCTACCCGATACCCGTACCCTACCCGATACCCGTACCCTACCCGATACCCGTACCCTACCCGATACCCGTACCATACCCGATACCCGTTCCCTACCCGATACCCGTACCCTACCCTACCCGATACCCGTACCCTACCCGATACCCGTACCCTACCCGATACCCGTACCCTACCCAATACCTGTACCATACCCGATACCCGTTCCCTACCCGATACCCGTTCCCTACCCGATACCCGTACCCTACCCTACCCGATACCCGTACCCTACCCGATACCCGTACCCTACCCGATACCCGTACCCTACCCGATACCCGTACCCTACCCGATACCTGTACCCTACCCGATACCCGTACCCTACCCGATACCCGTACCCTACCCGATACCCGTACCCTACCTGATACCCGGACCCTACCCGATACCCGTACCCTACCCGATACCCGGACCCTACCCGATACCCGTACCCTGCCCGTTCTCTACCCGATACCCGTACCCTACCCGATACCAGTACCCTACCCGATACCCGGCTACCCGTACCCGGCCGGGTACAAGTAGCCGTTTGCCACCCTGGTGCGGCCGGGTACGGGTAGGCCGTGAGTCACTGGTGAGTCACCGTTTGTCACTCAATTCCCAACGTCTTGTCTCTTCTCACAATTCAAGTTCCTAGAATCAACCCACCCGCGCCTGCAACATGGCTTCATCCCAGAGGTCGCAATCGGGTACCCGATACCCGTACCCTACCCGATACCCGGCCGGGTACGCGTACCCGTTTGCGACCCTGGTGCGGCCGGGTACAGGTACGGGTAAGGAATCAAAACCCGTTTGCGACCTCTGGCGCCCCCCCCCCCCCCCCCCCCCGTAAAGCCTCGGTGGCTTCGTAGATGTTGACTTTGCCTCGCGCGAGCCTCCCCCGTGTGCCTCCTGGCGACGTTCGCAGACGTGTCCTGAAAGAGCCGTGCGACGCGACGTTGAGTGTCGTTTGTCCGACGTTTCGGTCGCGTGGCGCACAGCAGAGGGCAGCGCAGTTACCCCCCCCGCTCTGCCGAAGGAGAGTTGACGCTGCTCGGTGGTGCAACTAAAGTCGAGCCGACACAGGGGAACTCCTCTACTTACGAACGAGTTGGGTTTCAGAGGTCCGTTCGTAAGTCGATTTTGTTCATAAGTCGATTTTGTTCGTAAGTTCGACTTTACTGCTGTCGATTCTAAACTAGCTGAACACTGTCTAAAGAACAGCTACTTCTTGTGGCAAGGTGACTTCTATAAACAAAAGGAAGGTACAGCAATGGGCTCTCCTTTGTCTCCTGTGATTGCGAATTTGTACATGGAAGATTTCAAAACAAAAGCAATAGCTTCAAGCACACAAAAAACATCTGCTTGGTTTAGATATATCTGTAATGGGTTCGATAGATGCGCCCACTCGACTTGGAGGCAACACTATTTATGAACACATAACACCAACGTGAACACTACACATAAGGTGGTGGCCACGTTTCTAATCTCACTAACGCTCGGGGAACACGACACAGCGTTGCCAGATAAAAGGGTAAAAAACCAATTATCATGTTTTTACTGGCAAATGAGGTACCAATGATGTTGTACAGCGTGTACACTAAACGCGTGGAATGGCTTTAAAGGTCGTGTCATCTGTTGAAACGATGCTCTGACAGTCAATGCCATGGCCTTTAAAGTAAAAATATATATGTAATTCGACGTTTCGGGCAATAGGCCCTTCATGTCACGCGTCAACATTTTCCATTGCCGATTATATATATTTTTAAGCCCACGCTTGTCGATGAATTTGCACCACTGCCAATGCAGCAGCGTCGCCAAAGAATTAGTTTCATCATCCACAATCGAAGGTTTTTTTGGGGGGGTGTTGGATCGCGTAAATATAAACGCGTGTCGTTAACCCCGCCACCACACAGCCAATTAGTTGAGGGTGTACCACTTAAAAATATTTCTACTGAAGTGTATCCGATAAGTTCTAGAGCTCTTTCACAGATGTCCACCAGTTCACAATGCCCAGTAGTTCAACACATCGGCTGTGTGTTGGAAAGTAAACCAACGACAACATTTACAATTATGATGTAGTGTATAGTGTAGTATACTAGTTCAGGACATACCAGTTGTGTGTTGGAGAGTAAACCCACTATAACATTTACAATTATAGTGTAAAATTTGATTTAAAGCTTTCGTGACTGCAGGGATTCATATTCTTGGTTTTTTTGTTAAAGTCATGTAGAAGGGAAATAATAAAATAATATAAATATTAAATAATACAATTCTCACGACGTTTCGATTGCAACACAAGCAATCGTCATCAGGTGTGAAAACCACAGCCACTTTTTTTCAAATTTTCACTTACACTATACATTTCACGACTACACACTACACTACTATATGCTACACTACTATACACTACACCGTTATTAACCCACTACAACATTTACAATTATATAGTGTAGTGTATAGTGTAGTATACTAGTTCAGTACTAACTGGTTGTTTGTAGGAAAGTAAATTCACGACAATATTTACAATTATAGTGTAGTGTATAGTGTAGTTTAGTGTAGTGTATAGTGTAGTATACTAGTTCAGTACTAACTGGTTGTTTGTAGGAAAGTAAATCCACGACAATATTTACAATTATAGTGTAGTGTATAGTGTAGTGTAGTGTTTAGTGTAGTGTATAGTGTAGTATACTAGTTCAGTACTAACTGGTTGTTTGTAGGAAAGTAAATTCACGACAATATTTACAATTATAGTGTAGTGTATAGTGTAGTGTAGTGTTTAGTGTAGTGTATAGTGTAGTATACTAGTTCAGTACTAACTGGTTGTTTGTAGGAAAGTAAATCCACGACAATATTTACAATTATAGTGTAGTGTATAGTGTAGTGTAGTGTTTAGTGTAGTGTATAGTGTAGTATACTAGTTCAGTACTAACTGGTTGTTTGTAGGAAAGTAAATTCACGACAATATTTACAATTATAGTGTAGTGTATAGTGTAGTGTAGTGTTTAGTGTAGTGTATAGTGTAGTATACTAGTTCAGTACTAACTGGTTGTTTGTAGGAAAGTAAATTCACGACAATATTAATAATTCGAGTAACCGTGACATTTCGCCGGTAATTTTGTTCACGTGACAACCCGTCACTCTTTCGATTTAAAGCTTCTTTCGTGACTGCAGGGATTCATCTTCTTGGTTCTTTCGGTAAAGTCACGTAGAAGGGAAATAATAAAAATAAAACA